GCCAGCTTGTATACTATAAGAGCACGAGTCTAGCAAACGCTAGGGCATTCGACAGATTCCTCGTTCTTTCTAGATACTCATTACGTGTTACCAGCGTCACGTGACATCCGCTGTCGTAACAATATCAATGTTAAACAATTTTAATAGTGCATAGTTTGAATTATACACACTTGTGGTCAGAAAAGTTAAGTTGATTTTTGATTTTTTTTGTCATTCCCTTAGAGGTAATACCTGATCTGCCCATGGAAGTATAGCTTAAAGCTGCACCTTGTGTATGAAGGTCAACTGCAGTTTCCTTCAATGATAGGTCAGGTTATATCTCATTGTTGCCACCTCCAATATGTTTGAATTGGAATGACTAATAATGTGGTTATTACTAGTTGCTCTAGATAAGTCTTACACTGCTGATTCAACTAAGTTACATGATATTTAAGCAGTCTGGTATATCATCTTCAGCAAATCAGCCTATCTGAAAAATAAGTCTTGGGGGTGTAGAGCCAGCTTGACCAATTTAAAACTCCAGTAAAGACAACTGTCCAGCATCCAATGCAAGCACACACACATTGTGTTTGTGTAATCAATAAAGATTGTTCTTATTGTGCATTACACTGTCAATTTATTTCTTAGCCCAGACTCCATTAATTTTAGTGTAATTCAGAATTACTTTGCAATTTATCATACCAACTCTCCTGTTACATATTGGATCAACCTAATTCACCCTTTCAGGAAACAGTCACCTGAAAAACGCCACACTGGCAAAACTTTGTCCACAGACCTACACAAGTCAGTTACTGATTAATTTTCTCCATTTGTTTGTGTAGTATGGTAAATTTTGTCTTCTGGCACTTTGTTATGATCCTTAGAGTCAGTGATACAACAAAGATTACCTGAGTTTGTCATTTGCAGAGTGTAATTCAAAACTCCTATACACAATTAAAAAAACAGACACAAAAATTCAATGGATTTGTTTAATACTTAAAGTGAATATAAAATGCATGACAAAGCAATTGTAATTCCACATAAGAAGCAAAACATTACATGTCAGCATGTGAATTCATTATACAAGTATGTACAAAAATGGATAAAAAAACAGTTCTAAGAATCATTTGAGTAATATTTTAATGTTATACTTAACACAGTTGCACACATTCTTTACAAGCAGTGGTTTTGATACTTAATACATATACCTTAAAAAGAAACTAAACATATAATTTGCACATCATCATACTTTTTGTTAAATGTATATGATAGTTATATCTTCCTAGTGTTAGTTTGGTTTGAATAGCATTACATTAATTATGTAAAAGCTTTTCCACATGGACATTCACCAGTAGTTCAGATATGTATTACTTAGGTTGAGCTTAAGCATACTGCCTTAATTTTTGTAATCTCTCCAGTTATTCAATTCATACAAGAAAAAAAGAAAACTAAAGAACTAAAACATTCCTGTTCTCTGCATTTTTTGCCTTTAAATATACAGAACTATCTCTAGCTTTCTTCAAAAAATGTATAGCTTTAAACTCAATAATAACTGGGAAAGGTACTAATTCATGCTTTCCTGCCATGTCATACATATATTAACTACATTGGTAATTTAGAAAATTAACCTTCAGAAGATTTTAGTCTTGTTATTTTCTCTATTATACATTAATGGATGTTTAAGTCTTAAATTCATTATAAAAAAGTACTGGAAAAATAAAAACACAAAAATATTACAGTTAGGTTAGTTCTGAAAAATTATTTTGATTTTACTTGCCTACAGATCTAACTTTAATAACATGAATATATCTTGAATGAATAGAACCAAAAATATAATATATAAGTATACGGAATGAACAAAAATTGAGGAACATCATAACTGATATCTGTACTTCCACTTCTTACACAGTTGTTGAATTTAAAACACTGAATTAAAGATAAGTCTACACTAAGAGAAACTAAAACCTTTCAAATTTATATGGTTTCTTCAAAATGGATTTACTAAATTATGTTCATCATCACAGCATTTATTTTAATAAAATCATACTAAATAACCAGTAAATTTATATCCTTTTAAATTAACAAAACCAAATTATCTAGAGTATTAAATCAAGTTCCAACAGAACTGTTACAAACTTAAAATAGTTATAATAATTCAATCAGCATACTTCCCAATGAGGGAGGTAAAGGAAAAGATATTTAACATAAAAAATATCTATATTGAAATGAAAATTTCTTTATACTTCTGAAAAACTATTAAGAAATATCTATTTCTATATCACATAAGATCTACAGCAGCTTAGGCTGTTGCCTTAAAGCTGTTATATCAAGAACCCTTCTAAACTCCGTGTTTTTCTCTTTGTTTGTAACCAACATTTTACCATGCTGTATTTGCTGAGGGGACCTTTCCTCCAAATTTTTCAAAACCCACAATTTATCTTCACTGGATGAAGTCTTAATTTTGTTTTTACTAGAATTATGATCACATGCTTCTTTGCATGTGTTATCTGAACTAGATGGTAACTTCTGTGCTAGTCCATTTCTTTCAAGGTAAGCTTTTGTTGCAAATGACACATTATTCATAGGCATACCATAAAGTGTTATGTCAGTAGGTCCTGTTTCTTGAACTTTAGTTTCAAGGACTTTTCTAAGCAGAGGATAGTTATTTGTTTTTTTCTGCTTGTGAACCTTACTGTGCTCAATTTCTTTTGCAAGTTGAGACAGCTGTTCCTTTTCTAGGTATTTCAAAGCTAAGGAATTCACTTCCACACTCAGGTCAGGATCAGATTCACTTAAAAATAGGGTTTGGTAGTTTAGCTTAGGCAAGCAGAAAGAGTTTGGTGTTGACCTGTAAATGAAAATTTAGAATTTAAACCATAATTGACAAGAATAAAATTCTAACATCTTCACTTTTATGACTAATCATGTAAACTGCATTACGAGATCAAATAACACTTAGTTTCATAAAAGTTTTTTCTATGGATAGATACTTTTATCAGAAGCAAAAAAGACACTATTTAAAAAAATCAGAAACCTACACTAAATGTTGTCCTTATATTTCTTGAGGTTGTAACACACTATAAATGATATCCTATATCTCACATACTTCTGCAGTCACCCATGACCTAGTACTTGCTTTTCAATGATCCCAAAAAACACACTAGAAGTTTCCAAGCTCGTTTTTTTGCATTGTTCGGTACTTAATTGTTTATACTATACTTACAGACCTTTACTTTGTGACCCTACAGCTGATGTCACAATCAACATGATTCCACTTTCTCATATGTTACCCCCAAAGTCATTTCAGGGATCTTACAAGAGATGACAAAATTATCATGTTGACATCCCTTAAAATTTTTTGTCCTCAAATAACACTATTTTCTTTGATTTCTATAAAAGTTATACCACAATGTCTATGAACTCATATTTTCTATAAGTTAGGATTTACCTATAAATCCACACTTTCTCTTATGAAAAGTAAGTTTGTATCATTAATGTGAGTATGCATTATTCCAATGGAGTAAGTATTATCTTTACTTTTCAGTACCCTCAAACTTATAATGATACATCCATATTTATGATTTTACAAATACCATGGTCATAATAATTCAATAATTTTTCTGTATACTAATTGCTTATAATGACACATGAATATTCATGACCTGAGAGTTACCTAAAATTATATTTACATTCAAATCACAACCACAATGATCTCACATTTCTACTCTGGATTCCTTCTAACTAAAGAAAATAAAACATACCCTCTCACAATAATAACTACATTTCTTAGGTATCCTGATGAAAATGCAATAATCCTCATGATCTCACATTTATCTTCACTAATTCTAAATTAATATCAAAATCACACTAATCTCACATTTCACTTCAATTACCTTACACAAAATGTACAGTTCATACATTTAAACAAATGAAATAATGATGATCCCAAATAATTCTAGAGCAACATTCAGTAATTCTACAAATCTGACTGTGCAAGAACTTAGTGAAACAAAAATCTCACCAATCTTTTTCAGTCTTTTGTCTGTCATCATACTCATTGAAAGCTCTCACTTCTAAACGATGGTCTCTTAAATCTTCTAAGGATCTCCTTCTGTCAGCTGAGTGACTAATTCCACGTAATGCTTCATGTTTCAGAAAGGTGTTTTCTAGAGAATTGGAACTACTAGGACATGACATGCGCCTCTCTTCAAACTTACTTTCATTTTCTGTTTGTTTAGCTAGCATGCGATGAATATTACCCTGAGATTAAAATATATTGACTTGGATCAAGTTTCATTATGCTGTAAATGAAGAAAACAACACTGTCTAGTGATCTAAAATATATCTTTTTTTTTTTCTGAACCAGAAGTTTGAACAGGTGATTCAGTATAATCATGCAGTATTTTTATGACTTAAGTTACTGTTGTGAAAGCTTCATATTTCCAAAAGATTTCTACCTGTTATCAATGTATATTATTCAATAAACAAATTCCAAATAGTTAACTTAATTTTCTTACACTAATACAAAGAGAAGGAAAACGTTAAAAGTTAAGCATTTTGTACAATGTTAAATAAATGCATTATACTTATTAAAAAAACAACTAAAATACTTAAAAATGTGAAGAAGTTACCTAGATCACTTTCTAGGAAAAGTAAATTTGAATCATTAATGTGAAAATATTAAAAGTTTTTAAACTTGGCAAAAATTGTGGAAAAAAACACAGGAATATATAGCATGCTACAATAGGTTTTCAAATGATACTGAGTATGAACCCATCTTGGCAAGAATTTTCCAAGCAGCTTCCTCATACATAACTTCCAGCCTTCTTTTTAGTAAATAATTTCAATAATTTTTGTTTTATAAAATAATCATTGAAATAATTTTGTGTCTGTTACATAGTAATTTAGCATACTATATCTGTCAGAGTATAATAATAATTAAGATGAAAATAGTTCTTTCTCAATAGTTCTAACAATAAAGTATTTTATCTTCAATATCACAATGATACTGTAAACAAAATGTAGAAAAAATGGTAAATTTAACTACTACATATTTTTTCATAAATTCAGCTTTATACCTATGATCTGTTTTCAGTTGCAACAACCAACGAAATATTTGATTGGTTAGTGAGAATCAAAATCAAGCAATAGTTTATTATGAAGTATTATGTATTTAAGTTAGAGCGTGATAGAAGAGTTTCAACTAATATATGACCAGTTGTACAAGCTGAGACTTGGACATTTAAAATCAAAATATTACCTTCTATGATAATTAATTTTCAAAAACAAAAAATTTAGAGGATTATGGTGAAGTAAATATTAATTTATTCTCCATATGCAATCTAAAATATTAACAATGCTTTAATTAGGTGGTGTTCTAGATATGGAAAGTGCTCCACCCAATTTCTTTTAACTTGCCACTGATATTCTGGGTCTGGTAGTATTTCATACACACAAATAGTGAATTTAAGTATTAAAAAAATTGAAATATACTCGCATATACTTGCCTTAAGTTTTATTTTATTTTTCTACCTTATACATTGTTCATGCAAAACCTCAAATATTCACAAATGAAAGTAAGAAAAGGAGTTTATCTAGTCAGAATGGCAAGTAAAAAGAAACTTACAGAGTTCTTTTAGAAATAAAGTCTAAAAGAGATTACCTAAAATGTTCAAGCTGTGAACACTCAATAAAGCCATTTTCTAATGTAAATGATACAGTTCACTGTAGGCCTAGGGTATAGATTTTGCAGAGGCAACATGTAATAGTGCAGATTCATACTTTTAAAAGTTTCTGGAAATTTACATTAAACTTTTTGAAAGTATTATATCAAAAGAGCTCAGTATATGGTATTCCCATAAGAATGATAGGAGTAATGGGAGCAATTTAACAAGATACCCTTCTCCTCTGGAAGTTCCTCAAATAATATTATTTTATCAATAATTATTCTGAAACTTGATGATTTTTGAATGAACGAAAATATATGGAGCTGTGCCAATTAGTTCATTATTGTTATTGAGCATAATAAAGATAATGTTTTTAAACTCCACATTCATAAAGACAGATGAATGTAGCATTGAGTTTATGTACTAAATATGTGCTGGATGTGCTCTCATTCTCAGTTGGGCCCTATCCCTTTCCAATCCTAGCTGAAAAACAGAGTAATTATATTCAAAAATAATGTTTCAAGGAATGTTCAACAATAAAATTGATAAACATCAATTCTATTTTACAAAAGGTTTTGATGAAAGTTCTTTTTCAGTATATCATGAATATTTAGTACATATCAATATTTAAAAACTTACAATAATACTTATACAATTGTCATGTTGTGACGCCTTTATTAAGCTAACAAAGCACGATTACAATTAATTATATTTATCCTATGATTTTAAAATTAGGCATAATGTATTTTTTTTAAACTACATTCTTTATATAGTACCTTATAGCTTTTCATGAAGTGTATAATAGTATTTCAACCACACTATGTCTGCCATATCCACTGCTGACAAAGAATTTTGCTCAATGACAGAGCTCATTAGGCCAGTTGGGATACACCAAACACAGTAGTGGTTGGAACACTATTTATATAAGCCATCTGTGTATGGAAGCACATTATGTTATAATAACAGTAAATCAACAAAACGATTTTTATGCATAATGAAGTGGTTTATTTTTGGGGAAACATACTACAACGTTGAAAACATAAATATTATACTCTGTCTATCTGATAATAAGCAAGTTTTAAGTTTCACATAACAGATTATTTCTTTCAATTATTTAGAAAAATGGTCTGTTTTCGTTACTTGCTTCAATATAATATAAGCCATTTTCACAATAACAATTGTTATGGTGTGAATGCCTTTTTTAAGCTAGTGAATGATAATTATAATTAATCATATTTGTCATAAGACATTGGTATTAGATTTAATATATATTTTTAACACTATTTTATTCAGTCTCTTAGAGACACATTGTAGTGTTAAAAATATATTAACTCTAATTCTAATAAGAAATCTTTTGTGGGATTAAGTGCCTATATATACGTTTATAACTTGGAAGGACTTAAAATACTTAAGGAAATACTTCCACAACACATTTCTCTTTTGTTTTGGTGTAAAACTCCTGACTGGCATATACTTTTAAGGAAGCTAGTAATGATGATGAGCAATTTGTATGTAGAGTTTGTAGGTTGGAGGTTATGATAATTAAAATAGAGGCAATAGGTAAAGAGAAATGTAGACTGTGGGATTTCAAGAGGAGCTTAAGATTTTACAGACAAGGAATAGATCAGTTAACAATGTCTTTCAGGAACTTAGAAAGAATACAATTAGAATAAAAAATAGTTAATTTAGTTATAATTTAATTGTAATGAGCCTATTCTGTTGAGTAACAAATTTCAGCCTTTGGCTTCTGCAGATGAGGAACTATTGGAGAGAAGGAAAACAAAAGGGTCAGAGAAGGATGTGGATGATAAGAATGTTATAGTTATAGGTGATTCCTTGACAAGACATGTGGATAGGATATTCTGTGGGGTAAATAGGGAGAAAAGAATCAGATTAAGCTACCCAAGGTGGAGGATATAACTGACAGAGCAGGAGATATACTAAAGGGGACTAGCAGAGATGCAGTTTTTGTGATACATGTGGGGCTAATAATGTAGGAAAAGTAGCCCAGAGGAGCTAATTAATAAGTACAAGAGGTTGATATGGGCATTTAAAGAAAAAGGCCATAACTTAATTTTTTCAAGGATACTGCCCAAAATTAATTGTGAGGATGAAATTATAAGTAGGTAACTAGGTTGGTATGTAAGGATGAGCAGATCGGCTGGTTGGGTTTGTGGAAACAGATCATTGGAAGAATGGAGCTTTTTGGAATGGATGTTTTACATTTAGATAAGATAGAGGATGGCTTGTTTGCTACGGCTATTAACTCAGCTGTAAGGGAAGTTTTAACCTAGGACTAGACAGTGGTGAGAGCCAGGATAAACTAAATGCAAAAAGAATGAGAGGCAGAGAAAAGTTTAGCATAGGGAATGAGCATAGAAGTAGTTATAAGAGTAGGCTTAATTGTTACTATTGTAATGCTAGAAGTATAAGAAATAAAATAAATGACTTTAGAGCACTGGTAGGAATGGAGAATTTTGATATGATGGGAATAACTGAAGCATGGTAAACATAGATATGAGGTTACAGGCTATTCAATAAGGATAGAATACAAAAGAGGGGGGGGGAGTAGTGGCTTTATATGTAAAATATGAGTTACATCTTGTTGAAGTTGAGGATACCAAAGATAATATCAAGGAGATTGAACCCATTTGGGTTTCTATAAGTGGATATAAAGGGAAAAGGCTTTTAGTGGAAATTTGTTACAGACCACCAAATTATACTGATGAAATTAGTGAGAAACTTTACAATGAGATTAAGATTTCAGTGTTAATGAATTTATAATTATGGGTGGTTATAATTAAAGGGATATAGTTGAGAAATGCTACAGTCAAACCATGAGGGAGAAAAGTTTTTGGAAACTAGTCAAGGAACCTACTAGAAACAATGCTATTTTAGATTTATTGTTAACTTCAAATAGAGAAATGATTGAGATGGTGGAAATTGGGGAACATCTGGGTTCAAGTAACCATTGCTCTATTAGGTTCAATGTGTTACGACAGCGGAAGTCGCGTGACGCTGGGAGCATGCGCGCTGGAGTTTCTTGAATGATCATGAAGGCTCGAGTGCATTCAAGATGCCCTCTTTTTTAGTATATAAGCCTGGCAAGAAAAACCAGCAGGATTGAACAGATAGATAATTGAGTCAAGAGAATAGTAGGCACCGTAAGTAAAGTGTGTGAATCACTGTGATTTATAGCCTGTGTTATAAAGGTTGTTAAGTTTAAAGTGATAGTGGTAATTCTGTGTATTACAAAAAGTTGTATTGAGAAAGAATAAACTGGTTTAATCACAAAAGGACTTGTATCACTGAAGTTCCTCGGACAGAATTTCTACAGGAAATGATCAAACAAGCAGATACGTAACAAATGTTTTGCTGCATATAATGATATTTTGGTTACAAATTTCAAAAAAGCAAATTTTGATGGGATGAGACAAGAATTATCTGTTGTGAATTGGGCAGCCGAGTTACGTGGAGACACTGATCAAACATGGAAAATAAAGTAAAGATATTCCTTATAGAAAGGAAAGGGTAGCTGGAAGTAAAAACCAAATTGGCTCACAAAGAATACAAGAGATAAAAGTAAAGAAAAGCATCATAAATTTAAGAAATTTAAATTGACTGGTATGATGAGAGATATAAAAAATTATAGAAAATCAAGAAAGTTGGTGAAACAGGAAATTAGAACATTAAAAATGATGTAATAGAAAAGTTTGGCTGAAAATGTAAAAATTGACAGCAAGGATTTCTTTAAATACATTAAGGGTGAAAAAAAATGTTAGGATGGGGGATAGGACCTTTGAGGGATGATAAAGGTTTGTATCTGATGATTATGAGATGGCTGGGTTATTAAATTTTGCTTTTTCTTTGGTTTTTACTAACAAAGATTTAAGGAGTATCTTACATCTTGAACAGTTGATAGATGGAAACAAGATCAAACAAGAGTAATGCATTAATTCTGAGCTCGTTAAGAAAAAATTGGGTAGTTTAAAGAATAATGAGGCTCTTGGGCCAGATAATATTTTCCCAAGGGTTTTGAAGGAGGTTAAAGATTGGATATGTGAGCCACTTGTTACAATTTTTTTTCAGTCCTTGAATAGTGGGCAAGTACCAGAGGATTGGAAGTCAGCTAATGTCACTCCTCTTTTCAAGGGAGGTGATAAAAATTGTCCCAGTACTTATAGACCCATTAGTCTTACATCAATTGTGGGAAAAGTTTTGGAAAGTCTGATAAAAGATGATTTGCAAAGTCCATTAACAAATTTTAGAATTTTATTGCATAGTCAACATGGTTTCACTAGGGGAAAATCTTGCCTTACAAATTATTTGACATTCTTTGAAAAGGTTACTGCTTATGTAGATGAAGGCAAGTGTAGATTTGGTTGATCTGGATTTTCAGAAAGCATTAGACAAGGTGCCACATAAAAGGATTATAAATATTATCTCTATAGGTGTGGGGGATAAGTTAGTAAATTGCATAGTAGAGTGGCTGGATCGAAGAAAGCAGAGGGTTGTTACAAATGGGGTTCAGTTAAAATGGATTAATATCACAAGTGGGGTACCTCAGGGCTCAGTCTTAGGACCTTTGCTCCTTTTGATTTACACCAGTGACATAGATGAAGGAATAGTCAATAAGTATGCAAATGATATTTAGGTCTTGGGTGTTACTAGCTGTGAAGAGGATGCTGCTGATTTACAAAAGGATTTAGATCATTTAGTGAGTTGGGAAAATAAACGACAGATGGGTTTTAATTATAATAACTACAAGATAATGCATGTGGGTTATCATAATCTGAATTATAAGTATAATTTGGATTGGAATAACATCAACAGTGTCATGAAAGAAAGGGATTTTGGTGTAATAGTTGATCAGTTCCTTAAGCCATCCAAATAGTGTGCTGTTGCTAGTAATAGGGCAAATAGGATTTTAGGTTATATCTACAGAAATATTGAAGAGGTTACAATTTTATTGTATAGGTCATTGGTTAGACCACATTTGGAATATTGTGTTCAGTCTTGGGCTCACCTTAGAAAAAGACATTGAATTGTTGGATAGGGTTCAGAGAAGGGTGACTAGAATAGTGCCTTGGATGGAGGGGTTGTCATATGAGGAGAGGTTGAAATCTCAGAAATGGTTTTCTCTTGAAAAAAGAAGAGTTAGGAGGGGATTTGATTGAGGTATTTACGATTGTAAATGGAATTTATAGTGTTGATGCATCATCTTTTTTCATACTTAACAATGAGAATAGTAGGTCTAGGGGACACAAACATAAATTTTGGCAGGGTAGGAGTCATCTTCAGCTAAGACGGTTTTATTTTTCTAACAGGGTAGTTGGCCTCTGGAGTGGATTGCCTTCATATGTTGTGGAAGTAGTAAATTTATGTGAGTTTAAGAGGAAACTTGATAAGTATATGAATGATAAGAGATGCCTTTAAGATTTTTATTAAATTTACTTATTAATAGTTCTAGTATAGTTTAGAAGATGGAACAGCTGACATGGATCAATTGGTCCAATGTTGTCCCAAAATGTTATGATATTGTTTTGTGACAAATATATAGTTGGTTTCTCTATTCTTAGCACAGGACCTTGTAAATGATTATTTATTTGTAGATAACTTAAGAGATAAAATACTTAAAGCAAGATTTGTACAAAATATTTTTGAGTTTTACCAGAAGATTTTGATAGAAGGTTTTATCTGGGATATTTTCACTGCCAACTGATGTTTCAGAGTCACTATCATCTTCTTCTGAATTCTTCATGTGATCCTGGTCAAATCATACTTTTATATGAATAAAACAGGATAACAAGCTCATGAGTTTAAAAAATAAACATTCATTATGGGCATGTATTATTCTTATTGCCCCAAATTCAAAACTATTGGTGAAATTATTAAACTTTTAAACATCTTTCTAACTGTCCATATGTGCCATTTGTGTAAGAAATCTCATTTGAGGAGAAACATCTATATAGTAATTCTTAAGTTCTACTTTAAAACCAAGCATATCTATATTTACTTGATTTCTAACTGTCAGAAATAAATATTCTTCCTTAAAATATGATATTTCTTGTACTTTCAATCATGTCTCCTAAAAGTCTTTCCTAATTTTTCACTGTCTGACTGATGAAAACAGTGCCATTGTTGCATAGCTTCATCAACAAAAACCAATTGTCAATATACAGTTTCTTTTTCCTATTTTTTCTGTTTTGTTTCATTTTCTTTGCTTTTTCTTCTTCTGCTTTTCCTTCCCAATTTTGTTCTTTTCCATGATCCAAAATTCTTGTCAAACTTTCAAACTCAAGATTATTTCCTTATCTTTTGGGTACTTATTTGGAAGAAATTTTATCCAAGTTAATTCCTCCAACAGTTTTAGACAAAATGACTTGAAATTTTGCATGTAGGCTCTTGATTTTCATAGAACATAAATGAGAAGGCCCCAAAGACTGATCTACTTGAAAATTGGTAAGAGAAGTTGTTCAAAACAATCTAAATTCAAATTTAAAAAATTTAAAATTTAAGCCCTTATATGGAGTCGAAGGTTTTTAGATGTTCACAAGACTGAATTCATATATTTACACAGAAATTAGAATATACATGAAAGGGATCATTCAAAATAAGTATCTAAAATTTAGTTCTTTGAATTTTCCATTTTATAGTTCAGCATGGGGAATTAAGAGGGCTCTCAGAATTGTCTACATGGATTTACCTCAGAACTGATAAAATATGTAAATGGTCATTCAAAATAATACATGCAAACCATTTTGTTTCCCATAACGTTTCACTGATAAATTACTAGTTCTGCTTAGTTTATTTCACTAGAGAAGAAGAAAAAATCACTCAAATCAGCATAAAATACATAGAATTAAACACCTAATAATACATAATTTTTTTAATTACAAGTATTAAAAATACTACTGATGTTGAGCCTAAATATAGGTAATTTTTACAATCATTCAAATTAAACTACAAGCTGCCTTTCTTATTGTTACACCAAATTATAATTTGGAGTTGTCAATAAAATATATATTTTGAAAATGATGCATTTTCTAAGTTATGAAAATTTTTTCAATTAATTCAAAAATAATTTTCATTGTCTACTTTACTAAAATTATATACATTTGTGGTGTTTCACATAAATATAGTAACATAATTTTCCAATTATAAACTGCATCATGTATAAGTCACACCTTCTACAAGTCAACAATACAAAAAGAAATGAATGTGTATATAAGCTGCACCCAAGTATAAACCACGGCTGTAACATAGCTGTTGTCAAGTTACCAGTTCGCTTACGTGAAAACATTTCACATATATTCCACAAGTTTTTAGTAGTTATTTCTTCCCAAGAAACATTATAAAATATAAAAGTAAAAGAAGAACTAATGTGGCTTTTTTTGTTTTTATTTTTATTATTTTCCAACAGTTTAGCAATAATTGAAGACAATAATACATATGCATCATACCAGAGGGCAGCTTCTTTTGTGGCATGATGACTCTTTAAAAAATGATCATTGGGGAAGTTTGGTACCAGCAGCTAAACACGACAAAACAACACTAAAGCATGTCTTCTCATTGCTAGTTGTTGTTACTTTGACAGATTTTCATCTTGAGTGGTTACAGTAGAGCAACATCAAAGCATAACAATAATGCTGGCAAAATTTTCATGTAATTTAACCAAAAAATTATCAGTAGCATTAAATTTGTAGCACTTCTTCCAAAAAACAAATTCATGTATATGGAACACTCATGTATAAACTACGTTACGGTTTTATCAGACAAAATCGGTGTATAAACCATGGTATATGACTGGGAAATTATGATAACTGAATATAATGGTTGATTTTTGTACTGGTTTTATTATCAATAGCATTTGTTTTGTTACAAACAAACTTTCATGCTATACCAAAAAAAGATCATAGAACAAGTTTTAATTATTATTATTATTTTTTTTTATACAAGATATTTTAATTCTAATGAATAAATGTATTAATTTATTCACTAATGAATAAATATTCAAGATGTTGAAAGTGAGTGAAAATAATATGCATTTGTTAATCACTTACGACTAGCCAGCGTAAAAGAAATGCTATTGAGACTTCTGAGTTACACAACTACATTACATGCACACAAAACTACACTAACATACAAGTTTATTGTTAGAAAAATTAAAAACAGTTTAAATAGAATACCTTGAGGTTAAATGGAAGGTATTATAATAAATCCTACACAAATCCAATTTGAATTTATTTTATAGTTTGTTTGTTTTTGTTTTTTTAATTTCCCGCAAAGCTACACGAGGGCTATCTGCACTAGCCGTCCCTA